TCACATTGGTTTTTTTTCAGTTTCAACCTGGTGATTATTGGAGTATTCTATCTAGGTTTAAATTGCACTTTTGGGTAGCTGGGAGTCCATGTGTGATGTAAGTAAATGACAGTATTTCTGTAGCCTGTATTCTTATATGGAAACTTTTATTAGTGTATGGTTTATTTTTTATTTTTTTTTCCTCAGTTGAAGGTGATCCTTATCTTTGAATTTACTTTGTAAAAATAGTTGAAAAGTTTAGGAATCCAAAATTTGTCATTTAAAATGTCTGTTAGGTGTTGAAGAATCAAACTTGTTGACACCAAAAAGTAAATGTTAATATGTCAAATGAATAGTTGTTTCTGGAGAGCCTTGGCTCTAATCTAACTAAAATAATATAATGGTTATAGTAAAAACTAAAAATACCTGCCTTAATTGACGGTGTAATCCAGAAGTAAACAGTACGTTCTGTCCTTTGTGAACAGCAACTAAAGAGACCATGTGCCTGATCAGCACATTGTGTGCACTGTGGAACTTTGTTTCTTTGTGTTAGCAATGATGTGGAGTAATTACATCTATATTCTGCAGAAAAAAACCTTAAACACTGAGACTTTCAAATTCTCAGAACTTCCACACTTTTTAAAGTATAGATGTTTCTTCTTTGACATTAATTACTCAATTTCCTCGCTTAAAATTGAAAATAAGTAAACCCCAGTATATTGTGTGTAGCTAATGGAAACAGTGTATAATTGAGACTAGTAACAATATTTTCTACAGGAAAACATTAGGTTTTTTTTGTTGTTGTAACTACGAGCTGTTAAAGGAATAACGGTATTGTCCCAATACCATTAAATGTATTTCAATGTGAATGGTTTATGGACTTTGAGTTATGAAAGTGGTGTTTAAAAAGCATGTTTCATGTGATTAGACAGTGCATTTGAGCTTCTTCTCCTGAAAGAAATTGATCATGTTTATAAAGGCTTAGTTGGAAGATCTAAAGTCACAAGATTTCAAGGTTTTCCCAGGTATCTTATTTAAAATATATATTCCAGTGAAGTGTCAGTGATGAGCTCTGGTTCCTTTTCAGGGGAAGGTCCTCTGCTCAGATTTCACTAAAAGAGTCATGGATAGTCTCAGCTCTCCTCTAGCAGGCTGATGGAAACCACCTGGAAGGCTGAGTTGACTGTGGGACATGAGCTTCTCTTAAAGTGTAGGAATGTACCCTTCCATTTGGGCTACTTTGTTTCTTTGCATGATCTCTAGATGTGATGGCAGATAATGGAGTGTTGACAGGTGGCCCTGAAGGAAGTGAATAAGGATAACAAGGGCTGTGTAGGAAGAAAGGAAGCTTTACTCCCAGTTCAGGCAATTGCAGTTTGATAAGCTGATTTATTGGTGGGGGCTTTAATTCCTTTTGCTGTACAGTGAACTCAGTGTTGTAAACAAGTGTTTACTCAGAGTAAACAAGTGTCATTTAAGGGAATTGCTATACAATTACAAGTTCAAATGAAAAATTGGTTGTGTTCTCTGTATCCCAAGGTGCTTTGCCCTGCATCCTTTATGTATATGTGACACCTACAGTTTTGATCCAATGAAAAATATTTAAGATTTATGAGGCATTACTAGTTAACCGAAAGCTTTCTCATACCTGCAAAGTATTAATAACCATAATTAAAGCATAAGATCTAGTGCATGTGCTTTTGTTACTATGATTGCTGTTGTTTACAGGTTGGTCTAAACCCAAATGATTTTCATCCTTAAAATGAAGAAAGTGGTCTTTGCAGGATAAATGATTCAGAGAGTAGGTTGTTGCTGCCTTTGCAGGTGGCATGGTGAAGGTGAGGAGTCCTTTCCTCCTACATGATTTTGAGAGTTTTTAAAAACATCAGGTTTTTTTGGCACTTTGGAAGTTTTGAGTAGTGGTGGTATAGTTGGCTTGCTTTTCACTTCATCTGTTGCTTGTTCTTCATGAAGAAATGTGTATCATGGTGATGGATTTGCAAAATAAGGTCATCCTATTACTTGTTTAAAAAGGTGATAGACATGTCACATTTAAATGTGTTTTGTGTTCACTTTTTAATTTTAAACAAACTATGACTGTTTGGCAGTAGTTGTAGTATCTTTTCACAATAAATTAGAACTTGAAAACCATCTTTGGAAGAGTAATAATTGTTGTCTTGATTTAAAGATGGTAAATATGATACCATTATGTTTTGGCTTCTGGAGTCTATTATTGAGGTGAATCACATGCTTCATTGGGGAACAGTTTTCAAGCAGCAAAATAGAATTCTTGCTTGTGTGGACAAACAGTACAAATGATGCGTTTTGCATCTCTGGTATTTTGTATGATCAAAATGCCATATTGCTCTAAAATGTGAATCTATCATGCAGTCTTCAAAGACAAGCTGAAAAAGAACTTCCATATATGGACAGAAAATACTGATGTCTGCCTTTCCTATGTAAAAGCAACAACAAATCCACAAGTTAATAATCTTTCATGCTTTTTGTGCCTCTTTAGTTTGCTGGTTTTTATTATAAAAACAAGTCACAGAGGACAGAGCCACTTGCAGTGGTTATTATGTGACTTCGTTTTCTTTCCAGTCCCCAAATTTAAAAAGAAGAAAAGAAAGGAAAAAAAGGAGACAAATTCCCCAATACTTCCAGTCACCTGAACCAACATGCATCATGTAAACATTTCAGCTTAGACTTAATTTGTAGATATTTATGCAAGACTATAGAGGATAAAGAGTTTTGTATTTGCTTCTTTTCCCTGGAGACTTTGGAATTTTTATAACCCATAGGAATTATCAGCTGGTGCATTACATGGTCAGCAGTCTTCAATATGTAAACATATTAGGAAAACGCATCACAAAACTTCCAGTAAAATCATTGATGGTATAAAAAACATTAAATTTCTTATAAAGGCTCTCCAGAATAGTACTTAAGGAAAAAAACTCTTGGATTCTTGGCACTGATAAAAAGATCTCTACAACAAGAAATTAGCAGAAGATTCCTTAAAGTTGCCATATGTTCCTCCTTCAGAATTAGTCGTGGCTGCATAAACCTCTCTGAATCTAGCTGGAGAATTTAGGTGTGGTCTTGTGACAACAGTTTAATGTTGAGTGCTGTTGTGTTAAGATTTCTTTCTTTGGTGTGGAGGTTGTATAGAAGTTGTAGAACTTGCAAGAATGGTCAATATTGATGTCCTGGGGCTGGCTAACAGGTGGCCTTGCCGGTGGTGTGTGCTGCATATATCCACCAGCTGTTTCCCCCTTTCCCACCACCCCTGTTTTGACAGTCTTAGAAATCTTTGCAATTCCTTTCTCCTCTTCTTTGCCTCTCACCTTAGTGTGATTGTTGATAGTTTTCTCTTGACCTGTCTGGAATTGCTTTTTCAGCTCTCTTTAATTACAGCAAATACTCTGACAAAACAACATGAAGTCCCAAGCTGTATGCTCTAGGGATAGGAAGACAATGCCTTTGGGACCCTTGGTTGCTCTGAAGGATGACTGTGGTTTGGTGTTAGAAATAGCTAATGATACTGGAATGGCATGAGATGACTGCTTTAAATGGTGGAGTGAAAGCAAACTGCTAATTGTTTTGTTTATCCAGTCCACTGTTTAGTACACTAGGGCAGTAAATTGAGAAACAATTATTACTACCTTTTTAATTTTATTTTTTTTTAAGAAGGAAGGTAGATTTATTTTATATGTGCTTTAACAGAGGTGGATTGTATGCTTTCATACTGAACTGAGAAGCCATTTGAGAAATGTTTATGGACTCATTCTAAGGAAAGGTTTGTGAAACATAAGTAGCTGGGTGCAGGACATGCTTGCAGTATTTAATGTGTACCCATTTATCAGAATAAATGTATTGTAGGAATACGATACATTTTCCTAATGTTAATAATTGAGAGGCATCAGAGAAGCGGTTTACATCAAACTATTTCTATAACTTTCAGGATTTGGAGCAGTAAATAAGAAAATAAAGATAAATCTAAAAGTAAGAGTAGTTTTCTAGTCAGGCATTACACTTGTTTCTCTGAAGTCTTTGGCATGTTTGAGCAGGTAATAGACAGACACTTTCTGTGATGGAAAAGTTGTTCAGGGCTTCTGTCCTATTTATATAAAAGTTTGTTTCATTGTTTGTACTTGAAGCTGTTGGTGAACTTTCTGTTGTCTTCATCTAAACAGAGATGGCCCTCGTAGCTACCAGTAAAACTGGGTACTGCACCTGCTTCCCCTTAACAAAATGTCATGTAGCCTAAGAAAGGATTAGTTTAGCTGAGAAAAAAGCTTCGTGAGCATTTGCGTTTCTGTCTGTTCTGTTCTTCCTTATAATGATTATGCACATTGACCAGCAATAAAAGTTGCTAAAAGCCTTGTGTTGCTGTCTTGGGAACTTGGCAGTCATCTTTCTTCCCATTTTATGGATGGGGTTTGAGGGCTTCATGGTTGGGAACGAAGGCTGTGCTCATAATATTGTATCTCAAGGCCCTCTTGGCTGGCTTGTCAGAACATAAAGAGTAGATATGTTTAGCTTTTTTCTATTTGGATGCAACTATTCTCACTACTCACTAAAATCTACATGGATGCAATGTAAACAATATGGACGCAGCAGTTATAACTGATCTTCTGTTTCCTGTGCTGCTCATAGGTATAAGGTACTGGCCAGCAGACCTCTAGGTAATAAAACAAGTGGTTGGTGCCTCTGAAGAGTAATGAGGTGATACAGCATTTATCAGACAGAGCCATTTGTTTGGCTCAAATAGCTTAAAGCCCATCTTTTAATAGTAAGTTCAGATGTGTATAGTGATTTATTTCATGTTACAAAACAGCTATACATAAGAAAACTTCCTTCCTAAAACAGTGCAGGGCTGGAATAAGTTAAGTGTTAGTAAACTCAAGCATGCAAATCTGAAAATTAATTCTTCAGTTCCTCCAGTGATGTTCATTGATCATAGATGCAAACTGAATTTCAGTATTATGACTGTGTTTCTCTTTTTAGGACACGAGACACTT